AACTAGTAAACTTGATCAAGAAGGTTTGGTAACAACCTTTGGATGCGGAGAGTGGAAGATAACCTCGGGGGCAAGAGTAGTAGCAAAGGGAAAACGTACAGGTACGCTTTACCTTCTCTAGGGAGACAATATCAATGATATGGTTGCAACTACAATGGCTACAGGTAATTTGTCTACTCTTTAGCATTATCGTTTGGGACATCTTGGTGAAAAGGGTGTAAAGCAGTTACACTCAAGGAAGTTACTTCCAGGTTTGCAGAAAGTTGAATTAGATTTCTGTGAGAGTTGCATTTATGGAAAACAAAAGACAGTCAGTTTTCAGTTGAATGGGCGACAGAATAAAGGTAAAAAAATTAGAGTTGGTTCATACGGATGTGTGGGGACCGGCTCAGGAACTCTCTTATGGTGGTAAGAGATATTTTGTCACATTCATTGATGATGCAACAAGGAAGACTTGGGTCTATGCTCTCAGAGAAAAATCAGAAGTATTTGGGATATTCAAAATGTGGAAGGCCATGGTAGAAAAAGAGACAGGTTATCAAATTAAAGCTCTAAAATCTGATAATGGTGGTGAATACACGAGTAAGGAATTTGCAGAATACTTGAGCCGAGAAGGTATACACGGGTTGAAGACTGTTCCTAGAACTCCTCAAGAGAATGGTGTAGCTGAGAGGATGAATAGAACCATTCTGGAATGTGCGAGATGCATGAGGCTACATGCGGGTCTTCCGCTACACTTATGGGCTGCTACAGTTGATGCAGCTGTTTATCTGATTAATAGGAGTCCATCTAGTGCGCTTGATGGAGAAATACCGCAAGAGTAGTGGTCAGGTAAAACGATTGATTATTCATATTTAAAAGTTTTTGGTTGTATTGCATATGCTCTGATTGATAGGAAGGATAGGAAGAAGCTTGATGCTAAATCCCAGAAGTGCGTCTTTATTGGATATGGTAGCGACGAGTATGGCTATATGCTTTGGGATTATGAAAATAACAAAGTCATCCGCAGTCGGAATGTGGTATTCCATGAAGAAAAGATGTACAAGGATCATCAGATGGAGCATGAGAAGGCAGTAGAACCAGAATATGTTGAGCTGGACACAATACCTGTGAAAATAGTTCCAGCTAATCAAAATGTACCTGAAGGGGAGGTTCAAGATGAACCTATTATCAATGAACAGGGAGTTCAAGAGGAACGCGGTGATCCAGAACATACTGACGACCCTGAAGTACCTATCTTGAGGAGGTCTACACGAGTTAGAAAGCCAAAGGTAATTTTTGATCCATCAGCTAATATTGTTCTCAACCATGTCTTATATACAGATTCGGGAGAACAGGAGACTTATGATGAGGCAAAGAAAGACACATCTCACATGCAGTGGGAGCGTGCTATGAAAGACGAGATGAGCTCGTTACCTCATAACAAAACTTGGGAGTCAACAGAGTTGCCTGCAGGTAAAAAGGCTTTGTTAAATAAGTGGTTGTACAAGATAAAAAATGAAGCAGATGGCAGTATCAGATACAAAGCGAGACTTGTGGTCAAGGGCTTTTCTCAGAAAGAAGGAATCGACTACTCCGAAATATTTTCACCAGTAGTAAAGATGACATCAATCAGAGTTTTGTTGAGTATAGTTGCAGTGGAGGATCTTCATCTCGAGCAATTGGATGTGAAAACGGCGTTTTTGCATGGGGACCTAGATGAAGAGTTATACATGGCGCAACCTAAAGGTTTTGAGGTCAAAGGTAAAGAGCATATGGTATGTCACTTGAACAAAAGCTTGTATGGCCTGAAGCAAGCTCCGCGGCAATGGTACTTAAAGTTTGATGGTTTCATGGAAGAAAAAGGTTTTGCACACTGTGAAGCTGAACATTGTGTTTATTTTCGCAAGTATAGCGATGGTGATATCGTATATCTCTCTTTATATGTGGATGATATGCTAGTGGCTAGTTCCAATATGAAGAAAATCGTAGAAGTGAAGAAGATGTTGGCATCGCAGTTTGCTACGAAAGACTTGGGAGAGGCCAAGAATATCTTAGGCATGAAAATCATCAGAGACAGGAAAAATAAGAAATTATGGTTGTCGCAAGAAGACTATGTGAAGAAGGTGTTAAAGAGATTTAACATGGATAAGGCAAAACCGGTTGCCACTCCTCTAGCGAGTCACTTCAAACTTTCTAAGGATATGTGTCTAAGTACTCAGGCTTTGAAAGATGAGATGGCGGCAATCTCATATGCATCAGCAGTGGGAAGTTTAATGTATGCCATGGTGAGCACGAGACCAGACATTGCACAGGCAGTGGGAGTTGTGAGTCGATATTTGCAGAACCCGGACAAAGAGCATTGGAATGCAGTAAAATGCATATTGAGATATCTAGTAGGTACATCAAATTACTCTCTTTGTTATGGAGGGACATCTCTAGAGTTGCAGGGTTATGTGGATGCAGATCATTCGGGTGATCGAGATAGTGGTAAAAGTACCACTGGATATGTCTTTACAGTTGCAGGTACAGCAGTGAGTTGGGTATCTCAACTACAGAAAGTAGTGGCTCTATCGACGACAGAAGCAGAGTACGTGGCGATCACGGAAGCCTCCAAGGAAATCATGTGGTTACAAGATTACATGGAGGAGCTACATCGAAAGCAGCCAGTGAGCACACTGTGGAGTGATAGTCAAAGTGCAGTACACTTAGCAAAGAATGCAGCTTATCACTCAAGAACTAGACATATCAAGAAGCGTTATCATTTCATCAGGTCAGCATTGAAAGATAATGAGTTAAAGTTACAGAAGATTGATGGCTTGAAGAATCCAGCTGATATGTTTACCAAGGTAGTAGACAGAGAGAAACTTATTCTCTGTACTACTACCATTGGTATTACTCCATGTTAATTGATGAGGAGTATCGCAGAGGCACAAGTTCAGGTTACTAGCTTTTGAAGTAGATGGATGCAAAGTTGCTTGGTGCATCGGGTGTATTTGACTTCAAGTGGGAGATTGTTGGAGGATGAAGCCAAATATTGTTATTAAGGGCTTTTTTGTCTTTTCTATTAATTTTGCTTTTAGGTTAAAAGCTACGCTTATATCAGCTATTGAGAGAAGTTAGCCGTCAAGCGCTGAGAAGAAAATAGAGAGAAAAGAAAAGAGAGAAGAAAAAAGTGATTTTTTTTCTTTGTGAGTGTTCTCAATCTCTTTGTGTTCCGATCTTGAGAGAAGATCATAATTGTATTCCTACTTTCTTCGAAGTCTAGTGGATTCGCAGAGTGCCTCTGCGCGGAGATGTAGCCCAGGTTTGGGTGAACTTCGATAACAAATTCTCTGGTGTATTCTTTCGATTCTATTCTTTTATTATTATATTCTGCTAGTGAGGATCGTTTGCTTGGATTATTTTTCTGGAATCGGTGCTCGATTCCCAACACGTTCAACCTCAAGGCCAAGGGCTGAGAAGAGGGTTTACTTTCACTATAGAAAAAATAGGCATATCATTAGAGATCGTCGATTGTAGGCAGCCAAGAAGCAAGTTGAAGCACCAGCTGCAAATGTCGCTCCAGTTTATGAAGACATGATAGTTATCCGCAATGATGAGAGCACCTACTTGACATGCCAAGACCCCACTTGGCTAGTTGATTTTGGAGCCTCCTTTCATGTAGTCCTCAAGAGAGAATTTTTCTCTTCACATACAGCTAGAGATTTCGGTCTCGTGAGGATGAATAATGATGGCTCGTCGAAGATTGTTGGCATAGGAAGTGTTGAGATCGAGATCAACAATGGATGCAAGATGATCTTGAAAGAGGCAAGGCATGTCCCTGATATTTGCCTTAATTTGATCTCCGCAGGGAAGCTAGAAAATTATAGTTACGTGAGTTACTTCGGTGAAGGGAAGTGGAAGTTAATCAAGGGCAACTTGGTAGTAGCAAGAGGAGTGAAAAACATATCATCTATACCATACAAGTGAAGTTATGCGGTGGAGATGTTAATGCAATGACGGAGATATCTACCGAACTTTGGCACAAAAGGCTTGGACATATGGGTGAGAATGAAATTAAGGTTCTTACATCGAAGAAGTTACTCCCAGACATAAAAGGTACCTCTATAAACCCTTGTGAAGACTGCATTGTTGGAAAAAATAATAGAGTTGCTTTCAAATCTACTTCACCATTGAACAAGGCTAATTGACTTGATTTGTTACATACTGATGTTTGTGCTGCGACTTTGAGAACTGTTGGCGGTGCTTTTTATTATGCTATCTTCATAGATGATTTTCAAAGAAGGTATGGACTACTGCATTGAAGATGAAGGATCAAGTTCTTCATACCTTCAAAGATTTGCATGTGAAACTAGAAAGGGAGACCGGTAGAAAATTGAAGTGTGTGAGGGCTGATAATGATGGAAAATACTGAGGGCCATTTGAGGATTACTGTAGAGTTCATGGCATAAGACTTGAGAAAACAGTGCCTAAGACACCACAACATAATGGTATTGCCAAGAAGATGAATCGAACAATATGTGAGAGGATAAGGTGTATCCGCTCCCATGCAAAGTTGTCAAGCTCTTTTTGGAGGGAGGCAATGAGGACAATGGTAAACTTGATAAATCTGTCACATTCAATTTCACTCAAAGGCAAGATACCACAAAGTGTATAGAGTGGTAAGAATTCATATTACAGTCACTTGAGAATGTTTATGTGACATCCACGATTTTGGCTAGACAAAAATGGCGGGAAAATTGTCAAAAAAGTCCTAAACCTATTGTACGACGGCCAATTCAGTCCTAAACCTTTTAATTTTGCCAATTCAGTCCTAAACCTTTTAAAAATTTGCTAATTCAGTCCTTCTGGAAAATTTACCCCGGAAAATGCTTACGTGGATGTCCAGTCAGCTCTGGCCATCCTACGTGGCCGGACCGGCGGGAGGCCGGCGCTGACGTGGTCACCGGAGATAAAAACGAAGCGTTTTCTGCAATTAAAAAAGAAAGAGTTTGGAGTTGTCGTCTGCTTAGAACCCTCGTGTCTTGCCCCAAAGTGAACGCTCACCCCAATCCTCGCTCCAATTCGAAGAACCCTAACACAAATCGATTCCATCTCAAGTCGAATCGAACGATTTCTCGCAAGCCGCATCGTTCTTTCGTCAAATTGGCTCCTCCAATCCTGCGTTCGCTCATCAAAATTGAAGATCCGATTCACCCACAACACCCGATTCGACCTCCGGATTCTGCAGCGAACGCGACAAGGTGTGTGGTCCTGATTTTCTTGTGTTGTCGGCACTCAGCGAACACAATATAAAGGTGCATTTTCGTGCTCCCAAATGCGACACAAAGATTTATGAATTCTTTTGTATGCTGGAACTGATGGTAATGCTATTACTGCCTGTTGTGGGTCTGTGTCGGGATCAGCTTGCTATGGGTTCTATGGGTTTTGTCTCGGGATCTGCTAGTTAGGATGAGTTCACCATTGAAGTTTAGCCTGAGGTGGGTTGTTCTTTTGGTATCAAAAGCCATGGGAAGTAGCATTAATGTACTGAGGTGGGTTGTTCTTTTAGGAATTTTATTTGAGTAGTGTCACTTGGAATTTAGCCTCCTGAAACTTTGAGCAGCGTTATAGATTGACTAAATGTGACTTCTGTCTAGGCACATTGACTGGAATTAGACTTTGCTTTGAAATGTCACGGGAGGCCCAAAAGATTGAATGAAGTACATTGGCATTTTATTAGAGCTTTTGAAACCTGCACTAAATAATTCTTTCAATGGTTCACTAGACAATACATAGTGCTGTATAAGTTGGATTGCGCAAAAACTTTACTTCAGGGTCCTTTTCTTTGGGTCAGCATTTGGCTTGTTCTAGTTTAAGTTAACTTTGCCTATAGTTAAGTAAAGCATGTGATATCTGTTCATCATATACTTTGGGGAAGCAAATATTCTGTTTCCCTTGTCATGCTTCTATTAGATGTTTGATTCTTGCAGTTCTTATTAACACGGCTTTGTAGGACTCTTCAAACAGCTGTTGGAGTATTTGGTGGTGAAGGCTACACAGAGAGGTTCGATTTACTACAACTAATGGTTGCAAAATCAGGAAATAGTGATCGTGTTGCTATTTCAAGTCTAGCCTCTCTACCAGTTGCAAATGCAGGAAACAATTCATGCTTTCCTGGCACAAGACAGTAGATCTAAGAAAATCTTTTCACAACCATGCCTCTATAGTTATCTAGCCAAGCTTGAGGAATCTGGATAGTGCAAGTTCAAATGGTAAGGCCCTCAGTGGTGAACTTGAGAATGACATTCATAGATTGGAAAGTAAGTGGTTTGATCATTGTGCATGGCAGGCTTTGTTAGTAAGCTCTTCACTTAAACCAAAAGAAAGGAGATAGATAGACATGGCACAATTGAGAGTTAAAACTACACCGACCATCATTATGAGGTTCTTTCAGTTAGGTAGTACAATCAATATAGCCAATTCAGCTACCAAATGCTATTGTAACCCTCTCCTCATTCTGTTCTGAGAGTTTACTTGATGATTTCCTGGAAAATGATAGATCCATGGCTTCTTAAGCATTTCCCATTAGATGTTCTAGTTCCTTTCATTCATAGTCAAGGATGACCTTTTGATTGTCCAAGTGCAATTAGCTCAGGTACCATATGTTCTCTCTGCGAAATTGTTCTCTGTTCATAGCATGAATCTATTCGGATTGGAAGTGCTCCTACTGGAAGAGTTCATCCAATTAGTATCTATTCATCTGTCCATCATATTTGCTCATTGTCTTGACTATTGGAAGTGTCTTTTTGGATTCTCTTAAATCTTATGCTATCCTCACTATTTCCCTTGCAAATGGCAGAATCACAAAAGGAAACTCCAGTAGTAATTTTGAAAGCATAAATAGCAATTGTACTATAACTAACAGCGAGGTGTCATCGCAAGAAGAGATTAGCGAATTCATGAAGAGATCAGCCTATTCGTCACAATCGATGGCGTCGGTCCCTCCAATCAACAACGATACATCCATTTTTTGTTACTGTGGCCTCAAATCTCCACTACGAACAGCAAGGACGAAGGACAATCGGGGAAGAAGATACTACGGCTGCCCAAGATACAACCACAACAACAAAGGAGAAAGTTGCAGTTTTTTTATTTGGGTTGATGGGGAAATCAGTCAATCGGCAAGAAGTGTGTCGAAAAGTTTTCACCAGAGCAATGTCGAGCAAGAACTAATGTCAACCTGTAGTGAGGATGATGGCTGCTCGATGGACGCTGAAGTCAAGGCTCTCAAAGCACAATTAAAACATGTGAAACAAGAAAATTCTAGATTGAAGATAATGTTGGTTGTGTTGTTAGTGTTTATAGTAATATTAGCTCGTATGTTATTTTAAAATTTGAAGGTGAAGGATGTCATGAGTTTGGCATAGAATGTGTTATTCTGAACATGTTTTGTATTCGTCGGCATCTTTTTTACATGTATGTGCACTTTGTTTGTGGGATGAATGAAGTGAAGATTTTTTTTCAGTTTGAAAAGCACATATCCTGTCTGGATATGTGGCAATGTTCTTTATAATATTTGGATTTTTAATAGTTCAATTTCCTGTCTAGAACAAATGTTGCTTAAATCAGGAAAAGAGCTAGGGAAATCTCATGGCAAGGGATTTTTAACTTTCCGTTATCCTATATGCCATTGAAAACTGTCTTGCATTCATTCTGATAAATGAATAACCCACAATGACAAGGAAAAGAATAATAGATTATCCCACAAAAGCAAGCAACTTGGGTTGAATTAGCTAATTTGAAAATGTTTCTGGTGTGAAGAGAGAGGTTGCTAATTGTCTAATGATGTGCATTTGAGATTGTGCTCTATTTGGTATATTGAAGCTCCATTGTTGTTGTTTTAGCTTGTAACAAAGGTTCAGCTCTCATGGACATGCCATTTTGGAATCCAATTTGCAATCTATTTTCAAAAACTAATGGGCAAAAGTACACCACAAGTGCCATAACTTGTGTACGGCGATCACTTTGGTGTCATAACTTTTTTTCGGATCACTTTGGTGCCAACTTTTTTGAAAAACGATCATTTTAGTGCCAATGCTGACATGGCTCGCCGGAAATCCGATGTGGCGCTGACACGACTCGCCGGAGAGGTCCAGTCAGCATTAAAAACCAAAAAAGACGCCGTTTAGCCCGCTGACGTGTACTTTTTTTTAAAAAAAATTTATATTATATTATATTTAAAAAAAAAAAAGCCCTGCAGCAACGGCGAGGGAGCCCTCGCCGCTGCTGCCGCCAAGCCACCACCGCCGGAAAGGGCCAGCGATGGTGGGCGCAGTGGTCGGCGAGGGTCGCCGGCCCCTATCCGAGGCCCGGCGAGGGCCGGCGGTGGTGGGCATAGTGGTCGGCGAGGGTCGCCGGCCCCTATCCGGGGCCCTACGAGGGCCGGATCCGGCGAGGCGAGACCTCGCCGTCGCACAGGTCGCGACGGTGAGGTCTCGCCTCGCCCAAGGCAAGGCCGCTCCTCGCCCGCCGAAGGCGAGGCCGCGCCTCGCCGTCGCGACCCGGGCGCGGCTGAGTCGGCCTCGCCTTCGGCGGCGAGGCGGGACCTCGCCGTCGCGACCCGGGCGACGGCGAGGTCCGCCGCCTCGCCCAAGGCGAGCGCCTCGCCGTCGCGACCGAGGCGGCAGCCGAGGTCGGCCTCGCCTTCCCGGGCGGCGGGACCTCGCCGTCGCGACCCAGGCGGACGGCGAGGTCCCGCCTCGCCCGGCGGCGAGGCGAGACCTCGCCCGGCGAAGGCGAGGCCGCGCCTCACCGTCGTGACCCGGGCGACGGCGAGGTCTCGCTCGCCCGGCCGAAGGCAAGGCCGCGCCTCGCCTCGCCGGATCGGCCCTCGGCCCGACCCTTGCGCCCACCACCACCGGCCCTTCCAGGGCGGTGGTGGCTAGCGAAGCGACAGCGGCGAGCTCTCCTACGGCTATTGCTTTGGAACCTTTTATTATTATTATTATTATTATTATTATTATTATTATTCTAAAAATTAAAAAATTCGAAAAAAAGCCACAAAATTTCCACTTGTACAAGTCAGACCATTTATTTTTAATATAAATGCCAGGTTAGCTTTTTGGCCGGAATTTTAGCCGGAGTCACTAAAGTGATCTATTTTCCTCCGACTTGGCACCAAAGTGATCCGAAAAAAAGTTATGGCACCAAAGTGATCGCCGTACACAAGTTATGGCACTTGTGTTGTACTTTTGCCAAAACTAATGCCCACTAACTTTGTCATGTTCCTTGCCATTAATCGGAGCAGTCTTCATGTGCTCAGATTACTTATCTTCCTAGCTGAACAGTGACCAATGCAAAAACAAATAAATTGAACATTAACTATCCCAGGCACCTGCTTCAACTTAAGCATTTATTTGACTTGTCATAGAATATGCAACAATCGGTAAGAGTAACAACAGATAAACAAATTTACCAGAATGCACAAGCACATTTCATTGCAATAAAGGAGAGTACAAGCACAGTACTTCACCGATCCCCAACCAAGTCAATGAGCCATCATCGAGCCAAAAAAAAAAAACTAAAACCCACAATGCTACTTCACTGAACCAACCTATCATCGACAAACAAAAAGAGAACCACCACACTACTTCACTAAACCTCTGAGTGACAAAAAAAAAAAAAAAGATAAGACAGCCACAACGATACTTCATTGAACCCATTAGCGACAAAAAAAAGAACACAACCATAACACTACTTCCTATCACTTTTTCTTGTAGGTTGGAGTTGCTTCTTGTCACTATTTTTCTTCTTTCTTGATGGGCCTCTTGCTTTAACTGGAACTTCAACTGCAATTGCTTTTGATGTTGATTCAACATGTGTTTGTACATCAACTCATTGTCTCTTGCCATGTGCGGAACTTGTAATCTTGCCCAACATCATTAAATTTCATTAGTTAATAAAAAATTGCTAATAAAAATGAAAATTTAATAGAATGCTACTCACAGTTTCGTGGACTGGCGTCCTAGGAGCAGCACCATCAATTGGTGCTCCACCAACACTACCACTCGCACCTTCGCCCGTATGCCTCTGAACCTGGAAAGAGTAATATTCACTTAAGGTTTTATCGACAAAGCAAGCATGACACCATGGAAATAGAAATACTTTGCTAGTAAAATTGAAAATCTAACAGAACACTACTCACAGTCCCACAAACAGGTGTCTCAGGCGCAGCATCAGCAATTGGTGTCCCACCAACACCGTCGCTTGCACCTTCGCCTATATGTCTCTGAACCTAGAAAGAGTAAAATTCATCTAAGGTTTTATCCCCAAAGCAAGCATGACATCATGAAAATGTATGTACTTACCGGAAGTTTTTACCTTGAAAAGTGTGTTTGTGAAGCTGTAGACCTAGCCTTCCTAACTGGACATGTCAGACTATTGTGTCCTGTTTTCTTGCAAGTTTGACAAGTCATCTTCATTCCTCTCCTCGACATCCGAGTTCCACTTGCCACCTCACCTTCCTCCCTTAATCTTTTATGTTTACGTCTGCCAGGCTTCACCCTAGCTGGAAGTGGTTCATGTGCCTCATTGTTAGTTTTTTTCCAAAATCTCTCTCCTCGAATTGGCATAAGCATGTTCTGATATGCAGCTAAGAACTTCTCCTTCTTGTAACACACATCGACATAATCATATGCATCCTCACGCCTATGATTTAAAGCAGAAATGGCATGAGGACAAGGGATGCCAGTAAGCTGCCACCTCCTGCAAGTACAGTCTCTCTTGAATACATCGATCACGTACTTCTCACCCTTTTCCATGACCTCATATCCATTATCACCATTCCATATCACTTGGGAGCAAGTCGCAGCAAGTCTATTTTCTTCCAACTTTTTTACGATTCTTGGACCACAGAGTCTCCTCCATCGAGCACATGCATCCCTTTGTGTGTGCATCCTTGTCATTATCATTATCCCCATCTCCTTTAACATGCTATAAATGGACTTACACCTGGCATCTACGATTCTTCCGTTGAATGTCTCACATAAGTTGTTGTCAACTATATCACATTTGACCTTAGTGGTGAAGAAAGCCCTTGACCAGTGCTTTGGCTCCGTTTGAACTAAGTCATGATATGCAGCAGGACTAATTTTCTTCAATGCTTGAGCATGTTCATCGTACTCTACCATGGTACTGCTCTTAGCACACTGCCAAAACAATCGTTGCATTTGTAGTCCCTTATACTTCTTGCCCCAGTTGGCATAAATGTGTCTAGCACACATTCTATGCTCAACTGCAGGCAACAACTCTGCCACAGCTTGTAGAAGACCTTACAAAATATGATTCCAATCAAAATAACATACTACAAGTGTGATCATTTAAGATAATAAAAAAGAAATAAGGAACTTACCTTTTGCTTATCACTAATTATGACCCAACCTCGTCCATATGTGTTTATAATGTTGAGGTCCCACATCAACTATATCAAGAATCAATTCCGGGTGTCTCCACTCTCAACTTTGACAACTGCCCATGCAATTGGAAACATCTGATCAATTGCATCCTTTCCAATGGCACACAAGATCTCCCCTTTACAAATTCCTTTTAAGAAGCAACCATCTAACCCTATCACTTTCCTACATCCATCAAGGAAACCTTTTTTGCATGCAGCAAAACAGATATACATTCTCTCAAAGAATGCCTTAGAATGCATTTCGGGCTTCTCAACCTTCAGTATAACACTACTCCCAGGATTTGTCTCCCTAAGCTCCTCTGCATAATCCCACAACTTTGCATATTCTTTCTCATAGTTTCCCATCAAAACGGTGAAGGCAAGCAACTTAGCCTTTGTACACTGATTCATACTTACATTTAAGCCCAACTGATCCTTGATAAGCTCCTTCAAAGCACTAGTTTTCATGGTTGGCATTGCTCTAATTGTACTAAGGTAGTGCTTTGCCAACCAAGAACTCGTGACCCTCTTATTATTAAAGCCGATGCTACATGAATGTTCTTCGTGGTAGGTCTTCACATGGAATGACCCAGTTCTGCCATCTAAAGATGCAGAAATCCTCCAAGCACAATTTTCATCCGCACATTTTGCTCTAACAAAATTCTTTTCATTCTTGACAAATTTTATCTCTCTACGCTCGGCTACTGAGTACTTTATGAGAGCATCTTTAAATTGCCTACTATCATCAAACTTCATAGACGTAGAAAAAAAAGGCACTACACTATCAGGATCATACATTAGAAACCTACTTCTCCTTCTTGTCACATCACTATCTTCTCGCTCTACATCAGAACTTAAACTCTCATCTCCATTTGTTTCATAATAGTCTGTTTGGTAACCACCTTCAGCAATAACCACATCAAATTGTTCGCGATTAGATGATTCTCTTATAGATTGTTGGGATGGTACAACTTCTGTGAGTGGTTCCGCTATAATCCAACCCTTTGTGACCCTCTTGTGGAACTCCCTAATGTTCTTCCTTCCTTCTACAAGTTCCTCATCATCAGTCGAGAATATTGCATCGACTACATTAGATGAGTATTCGTTGTCTGAATCAATTTCCACATTATCTATCGATACATCTAAATCATCCACCATAAATTCATTACTCTCTAACGCAGCACCATCACCCTTATCAACTGAGAAATTACAATCTAAACCAACACCCTCAACGGCACCCTCACCAATGCCCTCGCCTTGGCCAACACCCTCATCGGTACCTCCACCAATGCCCTTACTTTGACCAGCACCCTGACCAGTACTCTCATTAGCACCCTGACCAGCACCTCCAACAAGACAAACCAGAGTTGACTGGTTGTCCATCTCGATCCTATACAAAATGACAACGTATATTATAGTTAGTTAACTGAACATAATTGAGGGTCAATATAATAACACGTGAAGATAAACATTAGCACAAAGAAATTTGTCATTGTGCTTAATTATCAGATCTCTTGACACTCCTTGTGAGAAGAACTTAAACTAGAGCAAGACAAATGCTAACTAAAAAAATAGGAAACTGAAGTAAATTTTTTGCATAAGAAAACTTATACAATAATATATATTGTCTAGTAAAGTTATTGAAAGAATATTTGGCACAGGTTTCAAAAGCTCTAATAGAATGCCTATCTACTTCATTAAATCTTTTGTGCCTCCTGTGACATTTCAAGGCAAAGTCTTCTTACTGTCAATTTGCCTAAACAGAAGTCACAGTTAGTCCGTCCATAATCCTGTTCAAAGTTTCAGGAGGCTAAAATTCACGTGACCTTACTCAAGTGAAATTCCTAAAAGAACAACCCACCTAAGGCAAGTTCAGTCAAAACAGAATTTGCCACAAACATTCTGTGTAGAAACAAAATTTGCCACAAACATTCTGCGTAGACTATTTTGCCACAAACATTCTGTGTAGACTATTTTGTGTAGTCAAAACAGAACCCAAAGTTACAACATTCTGTGTAGACTATTTTGCCACAAACATTCCGTGCAGTCAAAACAGAACCCAAAGTTACAACACACAAAAGAAATTCATAAATCTGTCGCAACAAAATTTGTCACAAACATGCTACGTGGACTATTTTGCATCCAAATATTCTTTTGTGTGCATACATGCTTAGAAATTAGTTTCAGATGGCCATCGGGGGTTTTGCGTGAAGACAATCATGTTCGTCAAGTACCGACAACACGTGAAGACAACGAACCTTTGTGTCGCGTTTGGGAGCACGAAAACGCACCTTTATATTTTGTTCGCTGAGTGCCGACAACACAAGAAAATCGGGACCACACACCTTGTCGCATTCGCTGCAGAATCCGGAGGTCGAATCGGGTGTTGTGGGTGAATCGGGTCTTCAATTTTGACGAGCGAACGCAGGATTGGAGGAGCCGATTTGACGAAAAAACGATGCGGCTTGCGAGAAATCGTTCGATTCGACTTGAGATGGAATCGATTTGTGTTAGGGTTCTTCGAATTGGAGCGAGGATTGGGGTGAGCGTTCACTTTGGGGCAAGACACGAGGGTTCCAAGCAGACGATAACTCCAAACTCTTTCTTTTTTTAATTGCAGAAAACGCATCGTTTTTATCTCCGGTGACCACGTCAGCGCCGGCCTCCTGCCGGTCCGGCCACGTAAGATGGCCAGAGCTAACTGGACATCCACGTAAGCATTTTCCGGGGTAAATTTGCCGGAAGGACTGAATTGGTAAATTTTTAAAAGGTTTAGGACTGAATTGGCAAAATTGAAAGGTTTATGACTAAATTGGCCGCCGTACAATAGTTTAGGACTTTTTGACAATTTTTCCCCAGAAATGGCTATAGAACTTGCATGATGATTATGGGATAAATCGGCTATGGACCAATCCAAGGATAGGTCATGGACCGATCGACCAGATCAAAAGGGTAATCGAGGGATTAGTCATGGTCTGATCGAAAGATCAGTCCTAGAATGATCAAGGGATCGATAGCGAATTAATCCAATGATCATATAAGTGACTCGAGCTATTCGGCCGTAGATCGACTTCTCGACTATAAGGGTTGGCCATGGGACGGTCTTGTACCACCATGGATCGATGGACGATCATGGATCAATTTCACGCAGTCTTATTCCGGTCGCGGGTGATTCCGCACAGTCATGTACCGACCGCGGACGACCATGGATCGATCTGTGCGACCGTGTGTTGGTCACGGAACGATCAGTCCCACACAACTATATGACCACCGAGGGTTGTCCATGGACCAAGTATGCTTGGCCATAGATTGGCCATGGCCCGACCATGGGACACTTGGACGGGTCACGGACCAGTCGTGGATCGATTGCGGATTGGTTCGACAACCTTGCCGAATGGGTCATGTGCCTAAGCCGTGTGCCAGGCCATTTACCGAGCCACGAGCCGGCCATGTGCCTAACTTGAACCCTCCGGTAAGGCCAAAGGCCAGCTTAAACGCCGGCCATGTGTTGTATGGCCTGTGGACGCTGCGGATGGGCTGCGCACTAGGTCGCGCACGGGCCATGAGCCCGGTTTGCATGGGCTGCGCGCCAGGTCGCGTACGGGCCATGTGCCTGGTCTACACAAGCAGTGCGCCCGGTTTGCTAGGCCAGCACTCAATCAGTGCTGACCATTGTGCCCTTGACATGGGCCACCAACTTAGTCATTCAAAACAATTTTGGTCACGACCCACCACTTCCAATGGTGACTCGGCTGTGAATCTCGATTGGGTAGGCATGGTCAATCGTGGATGGATACGAGGATTCATTCCTGACCAAGTTAGTACTTTCATTGGTCTAATTCTCACACTTGCCATATTCTTGAAAGTATGGACAAAAGAGAAGACTCTAGAACATGGGATATCATTACAAGGGGTGAATCATTATATTAGGTGGCATAAGGAAGATTTGGTCATGATGGCTCAAGATTTGCCTTGGAGAAGAAGTTGATGATTCATGACCAAGTTTGCCAACGAGAAATGCACGCCTTGGCTTCATGATTTTCCTAATGACATAGGCATGCCACATCTCCCCTTTAGGCTTGCCACCTCTTCTTGTTAGGCTTGTCCCTCATTCACTAGGCTAGCCAACTCACTCAAATAGATTTGCCACTTCAAAGAAAATAATTGGACCGCTTGGACAAGCAATGATGAAATTGAGGCCTATAAATAGATGAGCCTCCCCTTTTGCATTTCCACTCTTTAGCTCTCATTTGCACCATCACCCCTTTGTTCACGCCACTTCCCCTCTTGGCCGCCTCTCTCTCTCTTGGCCGCGCCTTTGCCGTACCCGCGCCTATGCCACACCGTGCCGTTGCCGCTCGGCTCACCCCCAGGCCACACTCGGCCACGACCTCGAAAGGTTGTAAGTGGACTTACTAAACCTTGGCTAGGGTGATGTGTTACGTTGTTGGGCGAGTCACGTTCTTTTTGTTCTTGCGTGGATTCCGCTGTTGTGTACGTTTGATATAACTTGCCGTGCATGTATATGCATTTTGTAAGGTTTGCTCATGTATGAATGCACGCCCTGGCCCATGAACGAGTCTCGCTTGCTTTGGATCGTTGTCGAGGCATGTTGGAACGAGCCTTGCTTGGAGGGTCGGTATTGAGGCGTACCGATCCAAGCCTTGCTTGGTGTAGGTCGGCGCCATGACCAGTCGGTTTGGACGAACTTGGTTTCATGCATGCATGATGTAAGATTTTGAAGGCTATATGGCATGATGCTCATTTCGCGTGAAGTACTCAAGTTGGCATGATGCTTGTTGGCATGGTCACACGGGGGAAAAGAATAGCCGTCGCCCTTGATTGGAGACGTTGCTTGATTAAGTTCGGATGAATAGCCATCGCCCTTGATTAG